ATTAAGAAACTTATTAATTTTAATTACTAAGAAAATTTTTGTAATTCACATATCAACAAAATAATGGAGGAATATAGAAAATATTTCTCTCAGTATTACATTTTCTTGGAAAATAAACAATATATTGCAATATTTCGGGAAATGAAGTTATATCATTTTTCGAAATGTTGCAATATATTGTTTATTTTCCAGGGAAATGTAATACTGAAAGAAATATTTTACATCGCAAGTTTTTATCTATGAAAAAAATACTTGTTTGACATGCAAGAAATTATTTTGCTGAAATATCTAAAAATTTAGCTGAATATAGATTTGAAAATAATTTTGTTGGACCATCAAAATAACTATATGAATTGTTCAAGCTGATTGTTAAAATGCCAATTGCAACATTGCTCATCGTACTTGAGTTTCCTATATACATAATTATTTTGATGGTCCAACAAAATTATTTTCAAATCTATATCTACTTTTTTAGATACTTTAGCAAAATCATTTTTTCCATATATTTAACTTATACTTGTAAATTAGGAGAAAAATTTAAATAATTTTTAAAAGACTATTTTTTAATGGGCTTGAAATAAATTTTAAAAGCTGTTTAAATAATTGTTTAAATATTTTAAATATAATCTTTTAAATTTAATTAATTATAGTAGATGATTATTTTAAAAATAGCTATTTTAATAGATGTTTTGAAATTTTTAACAGCTTTTGACAAAAATTAAAAAGAAAGAATGAGATAAATTATTGTAAAATAAATAAATCTAATAAGATCTAATAAGATAAAATATGAAAAAAAAGGTATGACAGCTTATCTCCTAAGAATTTCTGTTATAAATCTGAATAACAATTCATTCCTATATTTCATTTCGTCACAATAATATTATGTTACATGACATGTGTTATTTATTATCGATAAACGTGCGCAGTGTAAATACGATAATAAAATGGCAATTATACTGCAATAATCTTCGCGAAGCACCTTTAAAAATTCCGATCAGTACGTGACTTATCTCTGACACACTTTCACAAAATTTCTGAAATAGTTCGCAAAATATTGCGTAAAAGTCATCATCTTTAATAAGCATTGGTTTCGCGTAAATAGATCGCATGCTTAGCACCCGCATTGAAGTGTCCAGAGTTCGCGGGGTGTTAACGCGTGGTTTATCGCATAAATGTTTTGTTTCCTCGCAAAGCTAAAGCGTGTCATCTTTATCATGAGAAGCGAAATAAACAGCACGCTTGTGTGCTCTCTATTACACACTATTTCACATTATTATGCATTCGCAATGATACATTACGCTGAAATTGTGCGGCGCACAAGCGAGCGTGTTTTAACTCTAATTTTGTTGTAAATTATACACTGAAAAAATATTTGGTTGAAAATGGACAAATCAGAAAATTCTGATTATATCAATCGGATTCCGGTTATCTCAACTAAAATTTTAGTAGAGTTAACAAAAAAATTTTCTGCTTAAATCGACTAAAATTCTAGTTGAGATAACCGGAATTCTAATTGATTTAATCTTCTAATTTATTTATTTTCAACCAAATATTTTGCTTAGTGTAAATTATAATCAGAAAGAAATGGGATTAAACTTTTTATTATTTTATCTACGATACACAGATACATGTAAGATAAAAAAATAAATAAATCTGTCTCTCATAACTTGATTTCATATTCTTACTTATCATTTATTTTTCAATCGTTGTTTCAATTTTTTTATTTGTACAGATGATACAAAGGAGGATGTTAAGTTTGGACATTTTTTCAGCTAAAATGAAAAAGATGTACAAATTATACGATATTATCATATTAAATGATTATTCAAGTAGAATCGAGTGATGTCGCTTGGGGAAACATAGAAAAAAAGGCCCTTAATATTCTTCTTTGTTAAAAATTCTAATTTTGAAAATCGAAGCATCGCAAGATG